GGCCCAGCCCTGAGCACCGCTCCAACTGGGCAGTGCCCCCAGCTCCAGCTGCCAACCCTGCCCCACTCCCTCCCTCACCATGGCCACTGCTACTTCAGTCTGCCCACCCATGCCCCCTGTGTTGCCTATACCTCCCTTCCCTCTCTACCTACCTGTAGGCAGCTGAGAAGCTGCTTTCCACTGCTCTTTGGCTATATTGCTAACCATGTGCATGTGCGTGCGCACACATGCACATACTGGGGCGGGGAGCAGGATGCAGGGGGTGCCACCCCTGCATCCTGCTCCCCGCCCCAGTACCAGCCCCAGCCCCAAGCAGCCCCTTGCATGCTGGAACTCTGCCAGCTTTTAAAGGACTAAATCTGTGTTTTTTGTCCGCAAACAGAAAACCTGGATCCCTGTTTATAATCTTCCCAGTTGCATGAAACGTGACAAGCGCCTGTGAAATTATGCATATTGTTTGCTTTTTCTCTGGAAACAGTTTATTGGACAACATTAGAAAGGAAGAAAAGATAATTTTTTTTCTGTAGCAGTTGGAGTTCTCCAAGGGAAGGCTTACTTCAGAATTTCCCAAATTGTGGGGCATGCAAAAGGTTACTGGCCAGGGGAGGAGGAACAGGGACACCTGCAGATCACGGCAGCAGTTAGCAATCCACTTCCACTGCCACTGATTCCTATTCATTACCCTCCAGTGAGGGAGGATTGGCAGTGATGGGAGCTGAAGTAGGGGGTACGAGAATGTGCAGCTTGACTACAGTGGGGTTGTAAACCTGCAAGGTTTAGGAATAACTGGCTTACCTAATTTATAAAAGGATCTCATAATCTTTGTCTAAATAATATGTTACAACTCTTGTATTCTGTTATTAGTATGGTTTCTCACGCAGCAGTAAGAGTATGCTGTCTGTAGGTGTAAGCTATCCTAGAGATTTTCTATGAATTAACTGTACTTAATATGTCTGCTAATCAGCGTTTTAACCTTTTCCCAACAAATGGAACATGTTGAGTCTAGTACAAATATAAAATTAAGTTCATATGATTTTGTTTAAAAATGCAGTGCTAAAATTCATTACTATGCTTTCAGTTCACTGTCTGACTTTTCTTTAAGTTAGGAGAGGTATATGTAGCTTGTAAAGATGTGTGTACCATGTGGCCATACTTAATATTGATCTCTTGAACTCTGGCTTTGTGTGGATTTTCCATCTTGGGCAATTTACATTTTATTTTTAGGGGAGCCCCTGACTGCAGACTTCTATGTAGTTTTCTTTGAAATACTTTGGAGGTATCCTACCAACTTTAAAAAGCAGATTAATTGTCTTTGGGGATCTCTGATACAACCTATTTTTAAATCATAGCTTGCTGCTTTAGAATACAGGTTTCCCTCGCTTTATGCAGGTTCTGTATGTGTGAATTCTCTCTCATGCAATGACCCTTTTTATACCAAAAATTTGTTATATGCGAGGTAAATTCACTGTTATGTGGTCAGTGTAGTGGAAGCTCAGTCAGCTGCTTTGTGCAGTGCATTGTGGGAGTGACGTGCACTAAAATATAGTCTCCTGTGTGGTTCTGTGCTCCTCGCTCATTGTCTGCAACACGCGTTTCTGTAGTTGCCATCTCCATTATGATAGTGCCCTGTGCTTGTGTGTACTGTCTGCTGTTGGTGAGGACCAAAATTGTCTTGTAAAAGTGGTAGAAATGGGTCTGGGGGTCAATACAGTCGAGGTCTTGGAGAGTTTCTGTATTTGTTACATTGTAAAGTGGGTTTCCTTTATGCAAATTTGAGTTATGCGCCGTTTTCCAGGCACATATGTACAGCATAAAGCAAGGGAAACCTGTACTACAGTACAAAAAAAATCAATCATTAATTCCTGATTTTTTTTAAATTAGTGAAATATCCCCAATGGATTTGTTGCAGGGGCTAATCACTTTTTCCCTTCTCCTGCCCTGCCCCCACAATCATTTTGCTTTGTAATTTTCAGGGATCCGGGTTTTCCCTTTGCTACGGAAAAATGCAGTAAAACCCAGATTTTCTCCTTTTAAGGAGAAAAATGGGGGGATTTCACTTTGCTGGCTGGCAGAGTTCCAGCCTGCAAGGGGCTGTGGGGAGCAGCAGGAGGGCAGTCAGGCAGGGGGGAACCATACACATGAGCAGGACAGGGCCATGAGTGGCTCGTCTGTGGGGCTGGCTCCTCTCCACTGCACTCCTTCCTCAGGGGAGGGAGGGAGGGGTGGGGGCAGGCTGCCTGCTGTGAGCTTGGGGCTCCTCACCCTACTGCCTTCCCCTCTTGGGGCCCAGCGGGTGAGACCTGGTGCAGTAGGGCAGAGCGCAGCAGGGAAGCCTGGTGCCACCACCATAGCAAGGTGCCCCCTGCCCATCCAGCAGCAGCTGGGGTGGCGGTGCAGAGTTGTGCCCCTTGCTGTTGTGCCTCTCCATCTTTACTTATAGTAAGTAACTAAATAACAACGGCTATGGAGCCGAGCCTGCCCATTGTTCTGCTCCCTGTCAGTTGCATGCAGACCTTACTTTCAATTTTGCCCAGCCAAAGTGAAGTGTTAGGCCTTACCCTTACCATGTTTCCTTGCATATGATGGGCACACCAACTTATTGCAGCCGATTTTTGGAATAAAAACCTGTTTGTATGTGAGAGAACATAGCATACAGTAGGTGTGTCGAACTCACCTGGGACCGTAGGCCAGATCCAGACCATGGGGCTACTTGTGGGCTAGATCCAAGCAGGGTGTGAGGGCTTCCACAGTGGCCATCACACCGTGCTACTGATGGCAATGCCCAGCGTGGTTAGTAGGCCCAAGTTGCAGTGCTGGCCAGAGGGTGGTAGTCTGGATAAAGAGGCTCCACAGACCAAATCCAGCTCCTGGGCCATGTTTGACATCCCTGATATATAGTATTATGTACTGGACTTACGAACTGACCTTTTCTGGCAAAATTCCCTGGTTTCAAAATATGCCAGTGGCCCCATAACGAGAGTAGAGTATTTGGAACCATTTCTACTAGAATATGCTTAAAGCTTTTTAAAATGAGCTTGTGCTTATGTTTGGCATTTTTTCCCCTGAAGTATTTGTTGTGCACTTAATCTGTACCAATATTATTACTTGTAACAAGTTAATTTTTTCAAATTATAAAGTATATATTTTTATGTCTTCCTGATCATCAGCAACTTTGTTATAGAAGTGGACCAGGTATCCATGGGGTAGCATTTATTTTTTTGAAGATAGCCCCAGTGTGAGTAGTTGGGAGGCAGAACTGCTTAAGGAAGAAGCCAGGAAAAATTTTAGTTGAGGAAGAGACTTTGCTTTATTACTTAGCATGAGAGTGTTCTTTTGTGATGCAGCGAAGGGTTAAGGTTCACTTCTTGTTGATTTAGCAACTGATATAACATACTGTGAGTATTAAATTGTTACTTAAAACAATGTGTTTAAGTTGCATATTTTTATTCAAATATAAAAAGACCTCAGTTCCTATGGCATAGTAATTATGTGCAAGTAATAATAACTTTTTTGTGTTACTGATTGCTATAAAGTATACTTGAGAAAGCCTGATTAAACATTTAAATTATTTGATCTAATGTTGTGGGTTATGTAAAAGGAAGAGTAATTCTGACTTCAAGACTTTTATGTTTCTTGTTCCAATTTGTGTAGGAATTGGACAGGGTGTCCCTGTGGTAGCACTCGTATTTGAAGGTGGTCCAAATGTTGTTCTCACTGTTTTGGAATACCTTCAGGAAAATCCTCCTGTGCCTGTGGTGGTATGTGAGGGAACGGGTAGAGCTGCAGACATTCTGGCGCATGTTCATAAACAAACAGAAGAAGGAGGGTAAGTCAATTTTCTGGTTGGTTTTTTTAAAATTTGACTAACAGTGCTAGACTCCTTTTGAGAGCCCAGATGTGTGCAGGAGACTCATCTTTGTGAAAAGCAAGGGCTAAGAGCTTGTTTCAGCTATTCATATTAAACAGTTTTCCACACAGCTATGAACTTTGGTCTGGAGCTGCCATTCTCCCTACTGTTTTCGTTGTCGGTTTCTCATGAGCCAAAATTGTAAACTGTGGGGTTTTAATTATGGTTGCAGAAGAAGAATAGGATGAGATCCTCTTGATCTTTTTTGATTACAGTAAGAACTGATCCAGATCTCCCAGATGCAAGACCTAGGTAGTCCTGTCATGTTGCCTAGTTTCCTGGAAAGCATCATTTGAATGTGTAATAACTGTCAGATGTTTCCATGAACTAGCTTCACGTATAGTGGGAGCTAATTTGAAGAGATGGAAAAATAGAATCTATAAATTTTATTGAGACTCTGCTAAACCTTAAGCCTACAGGCTTGTGACCGTGCAAAATGTGGCTGCCTGTTTGAAATGGTGTTTCCGGCAGGAAATGGATGTATGTTGTGCTCCTGGATCATCGGTAGCTTTCTGTTATAGGAAATAGACAGGGTGCCCATGTGGTAGTATTCATATTTCAAGATGGTCCCAGTGTGAGTGGGGAGAGGCTGAACTGCTTTTAGGGAACATCAAGGGAAAAATTTAGTTTGGAGGAAGAGGAATTGCTTTAGCTTTGGACAGCTGTTTTATTAGTAAAGATTGTCTGTGTCCAGAACTTTGGACACATACATCCTCAAGACTACTTGAATTCAGTGTATTGGTACTCTTGCAGTTCATACATAACCATATAGATTTTTTGGATGTTTTTATAATCTCAGGAACATTCCTGAAGGAGCAGAACCTGAAATTATTTCAACTATCAAAAAGACATTTAACTTCGGTCAGAGTGAGGCAGTTCATCTCTTTCAGACGCTGCTGGAATGCATGAAAAAAAAAGAACTTGTAAGTAGATTTCATCTTAGGAAGTCTTTATTTATAGGCACAAACTTGTAGGATTTAATTGGATCCAAATCAAACTTCATTCATTAGAAAACTTATCCTGATGGATGGAGTCTCTCAGACTAAGGCTCCAAATAAGTCATAAGCAGGGATCCTGGTTTTCTCTGACTAAAAATTGCAAATTCTCTGGTTAAAAACCCAAAATCCGTGATAAAAATTAAAGGCCCCCCCACAGCCCCTCCCAGTGCTGCTGGTGCCCCCCCCCGTCTCAACAGCCCTCGTAATGCCACTCGCAACAGCCCACGAGACCCATGGACATGTAGACACAGACACTGACACCCACTCCAGCAGGTAAGTGTGTGTGTGGGGAAGGGGTGGGGCAGGGCAGGAGAAAGGGAAGGTGCTAGGGGGGTTGATCAAGAAGGGGGGAATGTGCCCTTGTGCCCACTCCCAGGAGCAGGGCTAGGGGGTGAGGGCAGGGGTGCCACTTGGTGGGCCACACACGTGCCGGCTGGCCTGACAGGAGGTTCGCACATGGAGGCCTCCACTGAAACTCTACCACTGCGCCCTGTACTACCATCCCATGGCCACCTGCACAGCTTTGTGGGCAAGTGGCATAGGGCGCGGCAGCAGCAGTGCAGTGGCAACCACCGTTTGCGGGCCACATATGTGCCGCTTGGCTGGGGGGTGAAATGGAGGACTTGCATGCAGCTGTGTGCCTTGCAGCTGGCTGCATGGCTCTACGGCAGTGTGGGATGGTGGCAGCTGTGTGCAGGGTGGGGGACACTTTGTGGGCAAGCGCTGCCACCATGGAGCTATGCCCTTTGCCCCTAGATCCTAGAGGTAAGTGGGGCTTGGGGGCTGTGGGGCAGGGCCGAGGAAGATGGCTGGGGCTGAGGGAGTGGGGCCTGCCCCTCTGGGGGGGCCTTTGTGGGCAAGTGATACGGGGGGGCAGTGTGGTGGTGCCCGCCATGTGCGGGCCACACGCGCTGCCTGCCTGGGGGAGGCGGAGAGGAAGGCTGCCATGCAGCCGGAGCACAGCTCCATGGCCGATGCTGCAGCCGGGGGAGGGGGCGGGCTTGGGCTTGTGTGCAGCAGCCACTGCCACTTACTTGGAGGCCTGTGATGGCAGTGATTGCTGCTGCCTTCAAAACTTTCCCGCTGCTGCCGCGGAGCTCTGCCCAGAGCTGTGCGGCCGGGCGGCAGTGGCAGTGTGGTGGTGGCCGGGTGGCACGCAGCCATCCCCACCACCACCTGCTGCCGCCAGCTGTACAGCTCCGAGCATGGCTCTGCGGCGGCAGCGGGGGGTTGTGGAGGCAGCAACAGTCACTGCTGACACGGGCGGCTGCTGCTGCTTACGTGTGGGGCTGCCTGTGCCAGCGGTGACGGCCTCTGTATAGAAACCCTCCTGCTGCCACCGTGGAGCTGTGCTCGGAGCTGTGTGGGCAGCGGCGCAGCTTGGGGTGGTGGTGGCCAGGTGGTACGCAGTCACTCACAGCTGCACCACTCCACTCTGCTGCCGCCGGCCACACGGCTCCGAGCATGGCTCCGCGGCAGCAGCGGGAAGTTTTGGAGGCAGTGGCCGTCACCGCCATAACGGGCCTCCAGGTAAGTGGCAGTGCCACGTACAAGCCCAGGCTCCCCCTGTGCCCCCATCCCTCGCCCTGACTGCAGCGTCAGCCATGGAGCGGTGCTGCGGCCACATGCCAGCCTCCCTCTCCCCCTCCCCAGGCAGGCGGCTGGGCGGCATGTGTGTGGCCCGCACATGGCAGGCACCACCACACTGTGCCTGGCATCGCTTTCCCGCAAAGCCCCCACAGAGGGGCACCCCTGCCCTCACCCCTGACCCTGCTCCTAGCTGCAATGTGCTGCCTGGGGCCAGCAGCACCCCTGCTCCCTCAGCCCCCAACTATCTTCCCCAGCTCTGCCCCACAGCTCCACTTATCTCCATGCTCCAGGGGCGAAGGGCAAGTCTGAACCTGAGCCGGCCTTGGCTGCCTCAGAGGCTCAGGCCCTGCCTTCCCCCCCCTCTCCCTCCCTCTCCGCCAGGGCTGGGGGTTTCCAGCCCTTTTTGCAATTGGCTCCTGCAGGCTGGGGCTGTGCCACCCTCCCAGAGCTTTTTGCAAAAGCAAATCCACGGATTTCTCCACGGAAATCCACGGATTTCTCTGCTAAAAAGAGAAATCCACGTTTTTTCCGAGAAAAACAGGGAATCCGTGGTTTTTTCCGTTTTTCCGTGGGAAACGGAAAACCCAGATCCCTGGTCATAACCAAATTTTCTCATTTACTTTTTGTAGCTTGGCTAAGTAATCATTCAAAATGATTCAAAGCACTCAAAATGACTTTTCTGTTACCAGCATGGCTTATTTCTGACTGAAAAGATATTCTTTTTCTAAAAGAAAATCTTCTTGCCCTCTTCTTCCACCTAGTTGTTTTTTAAATTGTCTTGCTAGTTGTTCTTTTTCTTTTTCCTACGTGCTGCTCTTCCTCTTCTGTCTTTTGCACTGTATTATTTAAGTGTTGCTATAATTGGCAGGTCCAGGCAAAAAACTTGGAGCTTCGTATATAATCAGAGTTATAGTCCGTGCTGTTCTTATTTGGACACCTGAGCTTGCCATCCCAAGGATAAGATAAAGTTGTGACATTGGATTTAGTGACAGGAGCCTATAGTTCATTCTTCTCTAAAAGGAACCAAAGATGCCATTGGAGTAAGGTATAGTTAGTGTAGCTACTAAAGAATCGTCATCATAACTAGAAGGTGAAAGCTTCTAATGTCACCTGAATGTTCTGATGATTAAGCCTTTTTATCTTCTGGCCCCAATTCAGGAAAACATTCCTAATAAGTGCAATGTTTGAACAGGACACAGCTTAAATTTAGCACTAGCTTAAATTGCCTTGTGAAAACATTGTCTCTAAAGGGGGTATTTCAGTGCTTTGTTAATGAGGGATGGTGGATGTAAACCTATACATTACTATTTTACTGAATTCCAGTTGGTATCAGCATTCAGACACACTCGGGCTTACGTCAGAATATTTTTTCAAACTTTTTTTTCCTACTTCTTTGTGAAAGGTTTATTTATCGCACGTATTAAATATGGAAGAGTTGCTGTTTTTAAAAGTGGACTAAAATATTACTTTTCATTTATCATCCTTTTTTTTTAAAAACAGATTACTGTGTTTCATGTTGGGTCAGATGAACATCAAGATATTGACGTTGCAATACTCACAGCACTGTTAAAAGGTGAAGTTTAAAATTAAGAGTCTTTAACAATTCCAGCAATTGCTGGTTGTGTTAAATGTATATATTTTTCTATTTTCATTTATAAAGTACTGTACTTAGAAGTTTGAGATTTTTAGTTCAAAATATCTGTTTAAAGTTAGCAACTACTGTTAGAGCTCTTCAGTTATGACATTGTTCCATAGTGTTATAGTGACATACAAATATGTGTGTTTTTTTATGTAAATGTGTGTTCAGTCAGTTCAGGGGGAATTCATGTTTTAATATTCTTTTAAAATGTATGGGAAAAAAGAAAAATATTAAGAGTTTCACACTATAACCATTATAAATTATATGTGTATGTTTTGTTTTCTTTAGGCACAAATGCATCTGCACTTGACCAGCTTGTCCTTACACTGGCGTGGGATCGAGTTGACATTGCCAAAAATCATGTTTTTGTTTATGGGCAACAGTGGCTGGTATGTAAACACTCTAAATGAAACACAGTGGTATTTTATAGGACAAAGCTAAATTTTATTGCAAAGAATGAATCTTTTGAATCTGTAGAAATAGTCTGTATAATACTGACATTTTTAGAAGAGTGGTTTTGAAGAGCAGTCTGAACACTTAAATGCCTATAGTTATTGTATTCTTTTATTTACTTATGTTAAAAAAAAATCCAAGAATCTCAAAAATGTGGTAAACATTCCAAATAAGTTGAGGGGGAACTGTCATGGTAAAAGATAAAAACTTTAACTCTGATGGATCAGACTTTGCAGTGTTTACTTGGACTTCTTTAATATTGCTCTCATTTGGAAGGAATAGAATATTGAACTTCACCGTCTATTACTGTGGTTCTCAACCTTTTTAGGGTCATGGCATGCCACCTCCATTTTTTTTAATGTGTAGCATCCCTAGCTGCAAATCACTGTTGGTGCCGGGTAGTTCTCAGCCAGGTTCCGTTGCTTCCAGATGAAACTGCCCCATGCGCCTGCTGCACAGCCAGCCTGGAAAGGGCTGTGCCATGTATGTGTGCTCCTCCTGCAATAGGGGTCTCTAATCAACTTAAAGCAGGCAGGAGCTGCCTCATCTGGTTACTTGGTCTGGCACCCCCTACAGTCCTCCCAGAAACAGAAATAAATGGAACAGTTCCACACACAACCTGTCTCTGGGAGCAGCATAGGTGGTACTGGAATAGGAAGTGCTACACAGCACCAGGCAGCTTTGCTGCTTCCCTGAGGCTGATGAGAGGGCCTTAATGAAGAGGGATTGTGCAGGGCAGTTTTACGTGGCTACCACCGCTACCATGGCACTTGAGTGCCATGGCATCCTGGGTAAGAACCACTAGTTTACAGGTTTATTCTTTATGGCTTATAAACTGGTTTAGTTAGGCACCAAGTTTCAGTTGTTGATTTCCCTTGTTACATTAACAAAATAGTCTTGTAGTACTTTTTAGTCAAAGTACAGGGATATTGTTGTGGCAGTAATTTCTGTTTGAAATTGATGGTGCTTCTGAGGGGTAGCAGCAGTTTTGTTTTACAAACTACTAATGACAAGGTGTTAAATGTCCTGTTACTATTTGTTTTCTTACAGCTGTGTAAAATAAAGCCTCTCAATTTTTTTTTTTTAAAGTAGTTTTAGAGGATAAATAAAGGTACATTTACCTCTGGTTTTTTTCAAACAGATTACTATTTTACTGCTCTGTGCCACTTTTTCCCTTTACTACCCACTTTCAGGTTGGATCACTGGAACAGGCTATGTTAGATGCCCTGGTGATGGATAGAGT